TCCGTGTCATTTTGGGAGGGGAACTCAAAGGGCAGCGCGCCAGGGTCGGAAAAGGACAAGGTCTCGTTTGACGGCTTCAGCGCCGTCTGGGATGCGGGATCGGGCTTGAGGAGACCGGAGTCGTGGCCGGCCTCCGCGGTGGCCGAGACAAGCTGCGGTTGCAGGAGAATCGAGGCCTGGACGTATAAATTGTCACGCCCCTCAAAACATTTGGTTCCAAAAAGGTTACCCAGTAAGTAATCCATCAATTTTAAACAGTATATGTATATAGATAGATAAATAGATAGATATACATATAGAGCGGCTGTATATTTCAACTTGAAAATAAAATGGAATAATGATCGGGGAATACACTATCGCTTTTATTCTATCAGATTCAATTAACTAGTGAGTGTTTAGTCGTGGGGTTTCTCTTTAGGGTTTATAGAAGCAAACCAAGGGTGCTACACCAGGAAACCACAGGGATCGCAGCGTGACCTTATTTCGGTCGCCTCTACTCGCTAATATATCAATATCTGTAGACAGAAATATCAATGGAAACGGAAGTGGATAATGGGTTAATAAATGTAGTATTTCAGGAGTATATAGGAATTTATCTAACCCTTAAAAAAAGGGTCAATAAAACCCTGGAACTAAAAAATGTTAAAAAAGATGAAAACGGCGTTTTAGCTCTACTACTACTTTCGCTTGTTTATTCTTCGTCTCTTCTAATAATAAGGTCTACCAGGTGAAGCTGTAGTGAAACAAAAAGGGAATAAAAACAAACACAAGAAGAAGGTGCACACTGAAGACTCAAAAAATAAACATATCATAATCCAAAGGGGTGCCCCACATTTTCACATGGTGACATCTTTTAATACTAATACAAAGACATCAAAGTATTGGAATCTTCGGGGTTATAAGCCTAAAGTTTGTACTTACATGAAACTGTCTGCTCATTTATTTACAATATTTGTAGTCGTCTTTTCACATTTGAAAGTGAACTGTAAAGAGCGGTAATAACCATCCGAAAAAAATAATAAAGTGACGGGATATATTCCATAACATCATCAGGTGGATTTATGCTTCGTCTTTCCCTGGAGGAGCAAATTTAAATAATACGTAACAAAGAACTAATCCTCTTCCATTTTCAACGAGAAAAGTATGAGATACTCTTTGGGAAGAATGTGCTGTACGCATTCCATTCTCCTTTCTTTAAAAAAAAATATATATAAAATAGAAAATGGGTTGTCTTGTCTTCGTGATTCTCTGCGTAATTTTCAAAAAAAAATAAGTAATTCAGTTATTTACATAGCCTTTACAAATACTTTTCAAGAGGCAGCATAATAATAGTAATAAAACAAAAGTTGATCCGTCGTTGGAGTGAGTACTCATATCCTTATATCATACACATATAAGGGTATAACCCCTCTTCTTGTTCAGATCACTACTTTCAACCGAAGTTTTATTAAATTTCACATCTTAGGTTCGCAGAAAGCGCAGCATCAGATACGCAAATGCGCCAAATCCTAGTTTATCCCCATCCTTGGCGAGCGCCTCGCAATCCTTCTCGAGCTGCTCATAAATGCTCGACGCACCGAAATCGCGATCTAGCGAACGCATGTAATCCAGGAAGGCTGTCATATCGATGTAATAATTATCTCTATTCGTGTCCAGTGAGTTGAGGTTCTCGAGATTGTCCTCGGTATCCCCCATCTCCTCGGCCTCGTCATCGTCGGAGTCGATAAAACGGCGCGGCCCGAGGGAGTCGAACCACTCTCGAAGCTGATTTTGTTCAATTGGAATCCCAGATAGATTGTAAACCCGCCCGCACGCATTCTCCATTTCCCCTTTCTTCGCGCGTTCGAGGTTAAGCTGGACGGGAAAGCTATACCCCAGGCGAAGGGATTGATAGCCATTGCTGCGGTAAATCCCCGGGATCTGGTTCAGATTGTCTGTATGAGTTGTCGAGGCCTGTTTCGAAGGGATCTCAGAGCCGTTCTTTTCTTCCTTTTCGTCCGTTTCGGCCGCAGTTGTCTCTTCATCCCCGCGGAGCATCCCGACCCGGTCGTAAAGCGCTTGCTTTTGAACCCGCAAGGGAAGTTCTCCCTCGCCGAAGAGCGCAGGAGTGAGAAGGCTGCGAAATTCAACATCAGAGACGGCGAAATTATCCGCGGGGGGGTCAGAAAGCGGGGGGGTTTGCCCCTGCCGAAGAATTGCAAATCCGACATCACGCCGGCGGACTTCGTCGTAGCGCTCGCTATGATAAAGCGCCACGTGATATGTCTTATCTTGGGGCTCGCACAGCGCAGCAACCTCCCGCGCATCGATCGGCAACCCCAACATCTCAACAAAGGCTCCTTTTTCCATAGGAAGTAGGTTGTCGTAGTGGCTTTTAAGGCGTATCAACCGCTCCTGGCTTTCGTTATCCAAAAGGTTAAAAGCACGGAATGCCTGCTGGTTGGGCTCATTCGCGGCCACAGACATCGGGGTGTTCCCCCCTGCAGCGAAAGTAATGGCGGCCATATCCCTTTTTTCTTTTGTTCACTCGTTTCGGTAAATATAGATATACAAAAAAAAAATTATGATTGGTTAGTATGTTTATGTGCAAAAGAAGGTTATGATTTTTCCTGGAACACAAAATCCTACCTTTTTGTAACATTTTGTAACATGTAAAAACGGGAAAGGGAAGATATTGACGCAAGCTGGGTAAGTAACCTTATTCGGATGAGGAAAACCCATTTTTCCTGTGTTATGGTTTTATCTAATACGGTGACATATTAGGCTAAAAAAACGTAGCGTAAAATAAATAGTAACAAAAGGAATAATAAAATAATATTTTACGAAAAATTCGATCAGTATAGTACATACACTCTTAAGAGATTTCTAGAAAATAATATGGCATATTTTCATACTCCTAATTATGCCTAATATTATGTGTGGAGGAAAAAAGGGCACCATGTACTTTCCGATCTGATAATATTAGTTATAATGATAATAATAATAATAATAATAATAATATAAACCTAGAAAATTGTGTGGATACGATAAGAATCACAATGCCTATTTTTTATTAGTCCAAGGAAAGTTCTTCCCCTCGGGATCCTCCCGGACCTTTGAAACCCCGGAGGTGGTGATAACATTCCCTGTCTCCGCCTCAATTGCAATCAAGGTCGGGATCGACTCCACGGAATAGCGATTAGCAAGTAATTTCACTGTATCGCTTTGCTCAAAGGGGATGGCAAGCCATGGCATCTTTTCATAGTATTTCGTGTGGTCCTCCTCCTCTTCGTCCCAAGAAACGAAAACGACCTCGAAGTTCTTCTCCTTGTGGAGTTTATTGTAGAAGTCGGCAAGAATGGGAGTGAAGCCACGACATGGGGGACACCAACTCGCGGAAAAGTACAGAAGAATGTACTTGGACGAGATGGAGGAAAGCGGCATGGTGGCAGCCTGTTTGAGGAGGTTTTCGGTGTTGGGAATAAGTTTGGTGAGAGCGGACATCGTTCCTTTTTGCGTAGATGTAGATATATAAGTATTTTTTAAAAGTTGTGCGTGTGTGTGAAGAAAGTGAAGATACGAATTGAGCGCGATTGCAAAGTTAACGAAAGCTTAAGAAAAAGAAATATGAAATCTAGTCATCAAAAAATAAGAAATGATGAGATATAGACCAAAAGGGAGTAATTTAAGAAGCCAATGAACTAATTAAGACTCAAGTAAAAAGAATTTATTACTAAATATTTTAGACATGGAAAAGAGAAAATCGAAAAAATCCTAATCAGAAGGAATCAATACATAATTCAGAAATTTATGAATCTCTACTTCATTGAAGCGAGATTTAGAAAAAATGGACAAAAATAGAACTTTTGCTAATGTGCTATTAGCATGCAGACCCATTCAGGGCAAGGAAAGATACCAGTGAGGATTTTTATGCGTTTGTAAGCAAGAAAAAAATCACTTGGTGGATAGAAGGGTTAGTGAAAGTAGTGTTTCTTACCTTTCGCAGCATTATCTTTGAGCAAACATCCAAGCTCGAAACTAGATTTCAACTAATGGAATAGTGATCGCCAATGCTTGACGTATTAAGCTTTCTACGAAGTGCAAAGGCCCCTTTGAAATTTAAAAAAGAGGGAAATTTAAAAGAAATTGTGCGGTTTGTTTAGAGGCAATGAGAGTTTTGAAAAAATCGTCGTGGGACCTTCCTCAAAATTTTAGAAATCTGCTAAAGATACCTTTTCAGGGCAAACGGGACCTGTGTGCAATTACATAATCCATGGAAAGATAAGTAAGATGTTCATAGTATAATTACCCGCAAGTTATTAAAGTAGACAGCCATAGATGATTTTTTCTTCGAAATGTTTAAGGATGTATAATGCCTGTTCTTAAGCGCTGTAGAAGGTCTAATCTCAGGTACATTAAAGAGAATAAGAGCCATCCTTTTTTTTGTGTGTGTGGTATTAGGTATAGTGAAGCTATTCATACGCTGTGAGATTACTTGCACTCTCACATGACATGCATACTTATTTCTGGTTACAGTGATATACAGAATGAAGGTTCAGATACTTTCCATAAAAGTAACACCTAATGAACATAAGGCTTATGCACCTTGTGTAAGGTTTTTTAGGGGGTAATTTTCAGAGTCGTTGTGAATGGTGTAAACTAAGAATAGAAAACATCCCTTAGCTTATTTGTTACAAATTGACGACTTGTTACTTTAGTGATATAAAAATATCTAGGAAAAAAGAAAGGAGTGGTGAGTTTAGTTAATTATTTCATTTCCAGTGAAACTCTCTTAAATACGTTTGAATAGAATACTTATTATAATTATGAATTTGATAAAAATGCCGTTTCCTGTTGTTATTTTCAGTTTCGAGAAGCGCCCGCGAAAAGTGTAAAATTCCTGAGTTATAATGTAAATAATAGTGATAACAAAAAAATGAATAAATTAACTAAATATATAATGGAAAAACAATATTGATGTGAAGGGTTCTCGAATCAAGAACAATGTATGAATAAAATGCATGTAAATAAGCGAAAACAACGGAAGAGCAGATTGGTAAAATAAATGTTGCGTTTAATTCTATCTTCTCTGAAGCTCAAACACACACAAAGATTTAATGCACTTGTGCATACTATATGAGCGATGATACTATATAAAGTTTGCTTTCTGTGTGTTGTATTCAACGTTTAGGTTTTTTTCTTTCTACAAACGTAATAAATATTACAAGGTGAAAAAGTCCTGATGGTGTAAGAGTATTTTTGGTGTAATTTTCATTGCTTAGTGAAGGCAAAGTAAACATATATATATATATATATATATATAT